GGCAGCCTCCTCACCTCCCTGTAGGAACAAGTCCTTGATCTGCCGGAAGGCGTCCCGCACGCCCTGCGCACACTTGGGACCCTGGCCCTGGAAGTCCTGAGAAAGGAGAGGCTGTGGCCGAGCCCGGCCCCGCCACCCCCACCGGGCCCCCCAGGCCTCTCGCTCACCACTGAGACGTCCCGGAAGAACTGATAGGAGTCCCCAAGGCCGGCCACTGACACGACCGGCGCGCTGGCCGCCAGCGCCCCCGCCACCAGGTGGGGGTACTTCATCCTCATGTAGGCGCTGAGCATCCCCCCGTAGCTGTTGGGGAGCAAGGTCGGGCGGGGGCCGCGGCCCGGCACGCCCCTTCCCCTCCTCAGTGACCCCCCCCCCGTGCCCCAGAGGGGCCTGAAAAGCCTAAGGACCCAGGAAACACCCCTCGGGGAGGAAGGGGTGGTGAGGACCCACCTCCCGCCAAAGGCGATGGCGGGGACGTCCTGGGCCCGGAGGCTCTGCCGCAGCGCCTGGAGCAGCCTGGCGAAGTCGGCCAGCGCCTGCTCCACCGTCAGCAGCTCCGTGTACCCGCGGCGGGTGGACCGCTCCTCGAAGGGGAGCGACTTTCCGTAGTAGCGCTGTGGGCAGGGCCGGCCGTGACCTCGCCGCCTGCCCGTCCCCCCGCTCCCCCTCCCGGCCCGCAGCCGGGCGCCCGGTACCCACGTGCTCCGCAAAGACAACCAGGGCCTCCTGCTCTGCCGCCAGCTCCAGGATGAACCCCGAGTTGTTGGCGAAGGCCCACACGTCCCCCTCGTTGCCCGTGTAGAAGAACAGGGGCCCCTCACCCCTCTTCCAGAACTTCTCTGTGGGGTGCAGGCAGGAGGGGGTTGAGTGAGGCGTGTGACCGGCCCCCAGGAGCTGGGGGGCCCCAGGCAGCCTCACCTGACACCAGGAACCGCTGCGGGAAGGTCTGGTTGCCGAACCTCTCGAAGTTGAAATGATCCAGGAGCTGATCGAAGTAGTTCTCCCGGAAGTCGGGGTCCAGGGCCCTGCGGGCTGGAGGGCGCGGGGCTCAGGGGACGGCTGCCAGGCGGCGGCGGGAGGGCCCGGGACCCCACTTACCCCCGGCCTCCAGGCGGTGCAGCCCCAGCGCCAGCAGCAGGGCCAGGGCCCAGGGCAGGGCCCGCGGGGGCCGGGGGCTCATGTCCGCTGGGCGGCCGAGAGCATGTCACGTGGCTGCGGGGACACCTCACGTGGGGCTGGGCGGGGCTGTGCCCTGGGCGCCCGTCCCTCCGCTCCTCCGGCTGGCGCAGCAGAGCCTCCCCTCCCGCCCTCAGGCTTCCTGGCAGCCATTGTGTCACCATGGAGATGGTCGCCCTGGGGACCCGGGAAGCAGGCCGGGCTCAAGGGCCTGGCGCTGGGACAGGGCCGGGTGCCCAGCCACCTGTCTCCCGCCCGCCCCATGCCTCCCCGCTGGTCACCCAGCACGGCCTTCCTCGCTCCAGGTGCCAGGTGGGTGCGTCCCCAGCACACACCTGGGCGAGAGGCGACAGCCCTGCCGTCCCGGCCGTTCGGGGCGCCCCAGCCTCACAGCCACAGGGAGACGATCTGGGCCAGGCCCCCCTGCAGGCGGGCCCCTGGGGGGGGCTGCCCAAGGG